GAGCGGTTCTAAAAAAAAACCGGATCCTTATCATCGATGAAGCAACAGCAAATGTAGACCCAAGGTAAAAACAAAATCTGTGATGTTGAGATAAGCTGGTTTTTCTTCTAATATGATGATCCATACTGTAGAGATGAACTTGAATGCTTTGTATTTCTTGTAGTTTGTATTGCTATTTTATGTTTTTAATGATAGTATTATAATTGACTATTCAAAATGGGGCAGTTGAGCTTTGGCTACAGAGCAGATGATATAAACTAAGTGCTCAAAATATCCCTAATTTCAGTGCATTCCATAGAGTCGGGAAATTAATATTCAAAGTTTTTTTGTCCTCCAGCCATAGACAAAAAGACAAGAACCTCCTTGGAAATGCACGTCAGTAACATCAGAATAGCTATGAAACAAAATGGGTTGGGTTCTGTTGATTTCTGGAAGAAATGTCTCTTGGAAGCAAATAAATAAAAATTAATTAATTAATTAATCTCACCCCCAAAAACTCCTCAGAACTGGCAAGGTGAAAAATGGCTATAAGCAAAGCCAGATACTTCTGGTTCTGAGATGCTATCCCTTCAGATGGCTCAGATGCCAGTGTAATAAGATACAGATAAAAATAGGGGCAGAGGGGAAGGTAAGCTGTCCTAAACACCACAGGAATTGCAGAACATTCTTGGAGATGTTTAAAGCTACAGGTGGGACTCATTTATCATTCATTATTTTGTCTTGTATAACTCAGGCCGGCAGAACTTTCCTGAATTCATTCCTGTTTGAACTAGAGTGTTACTTCTAGAAGAACATCCAACCTCAATAGAAAAAAATTCAATGACAACCCTTGTTAAATTGTTCCAATAGCTGAGTACCCCCACTGTTAATTTTTGAAACATTTGAAACGCTGGTGGAAATATTTTGGAAACAATACTGCAAACGTACTGCATCAATTAGTCTGAGCTGAATATATAGTTCCAACAAACTATGGCTTGAGGGAGAACTCAAAAGTCCAAAGAGGACAATAACACAGCAAGTCCCTCAAACAGATGCATTAAGGATTTTGTATGTCATCTGGGCGTGACTCATTTTTATAACATCTTCTTGGGGGAGAAGTGGTGCCACTAGGATAGCTTTGCAGTTCAGCTGACAGTGTATTTCTAAAACCTTTAAAGAAGTGCATTCTCTTCCCAGAGGTTTTTTTTTTTTCCCTTTTTTGACTATTAGTTTATTTTTGGCTGAGCTCTGATAGATTAACTGTGATTAATCGTAGCTGTGGAAATTTAATACCATCTTACTCATCCTCCCTATTTTGGCATCTTGCATTTGTGTGTTCTCAACTTGCACTATCCATTTAATTGATCTTGATTAATGTGTGCTGCAATATATATTATAATAAGGTAAATGTTTGTTTGTATCAACTCTAGGCATAACAATACAAATAACAACTTGGAACTTCTTCTTTGAATTCGGTTTGCATTACAGTCGTTATTACCTTTTCCTTAATGTGTTGCTATAACTAGAGCCAAGTATTTTTCAGCTGTGCAATCTGATAGGACGCTCATCAGGAAATGCTGATGTGGGTTGCTTAACTGAGCAGTTAGGGAGGCATTTTTGGCATGTAAGGAAAACCTCCTCCTCTTCTGAGGCACAACCCCCATACCTGGCACCCTTGTCTCTAGCCTGGTGGCAAGCACACATCGTATCAAGCACCTGGGATAGGAAACCATGGGGAGCTGCCGCCGGCTCTGGAGATGTTATTTCTTTTATTTTGTTGTTTTTCTGACTCTTGCTCTCTTTGCCTCCCTGCTGCAACCATGTCCCTTCTCCAGTTCAGTCTAGAAGCAAATGTGAGAAGGCAGGGTTTGGGGGTGGGAGGAGGAGGAGAAGGAAGGGTGAGGTGGCATGAGGCAGTGGATGTGACAGCAGGGTGAGAGGTGTGCAGTGTACCTTCCCTAGAGCTGAGGGACTCCACGCCATCTTTCTCCAGCTCAGCTAGGCCATTCTTGTCTGCAACTGAGTGAAGCTGAGCAAAGGAGTGAAGGGAAGGAATTCTGAGTTCATCCTTCTCCCTCCTCCTTACATCCTCCAGCGCCCGTATGTACCCTTATTTTCCGCCTTACTCCTCCTAGCTACCCGCTGCTCTGCATGCTGCAGAGGTGTCAGCTCTGTCGTGAGGGAGAGGAGGAGCTTGCCATAAAGAAGGTTGCCCTAAGTCAGACTACTTGCCTGTTTTATGTGATGACTGACAGACATTTAATTTGATTTTATCTTCTTGGTCCTGAAGCTGGCATTCTCACCCTGAAGTGTGCGGTAATTTTAAAGCAGTTGAACCATTCTAGAAAGTTGTATGAAATCTGGAGCAGAAGAGATTAAAATCTTTCTGTAGTTGCTTTGGTGGTATATTGAAACAAAATCCTTAGTAACGGAGACTTTTTTTAAATACTGAGTAAGTTGAACTTCCTAAGCTTCTGCACGCTGACTACAGTATCATGCGTTAACTGGTATTTTTACTGCTTATAGAGGACAAAACTTTTTGGGACCAGTCCACTGCCACATTTTTACATTGGTTGTTCATTGAGTCTAGTAAAAACGGTAATTGCACATAGTTCAGTTCATTAGCCAGCTTAACCTTGTAAGGTTTAACCTTTTGTTACATCTAACTGCTATCTGTAGCTGTTTCTCTTTTGGAGAAATTATCTAAAGCCACTCAGGAATTGTATAGTGTGAGATATGCTTCCAGGACAATCCCAGGAGGACTTTAGACTGAAGATAATGGCTTATCCAGTGTTCCTTTCAGCTGCTTGGTTGCTTCTCATTCAGGTCATATTTATTCTTGCTCTTTAGATACTTTTCTTTTTACACAGTCAACTAATTCAGGTTACACCAGATCTTGGTGTTAGATCCTCAACCCATGGTGCCAGTGGGATAGCTATACCACCATTTTGTGCTTTCTTATTGTACTGAATCGTGGTTCCCATTTTCATATAATCAGATCAGAGTTGAGCTTTTGTCATCCAGCAGCCCTGGTTTTGGTATTCAGGTTGCATCTTTGGTTTCTAGTGTGCCTGAAGGATGATGGGGTTTGATCCACTGAGGTGGGTGATGGAATGACTTGGCAGTTGCCTGGCCACTTTCTCAATGTGCGTAGGCACCACAAAGGATCCATTTATGCCCTGAAAAAAGATCAGAAATGGTGCTTCCTTTGGCACTTTTCTAGAGGGTCGGCAGCTCTAATTGGCATGTCATGTAGTCTCTACACTCTGTCAGCACCTAATTCTGTACACAGATCCTTTTCTTCGTCTTTTAGATTTTCTTACCTTTCCTACCTTCTTCCCGAGATTCTCCTGGAGGTTTCTTGATGGTGCTTCTGCCTGCCACCCAAAAAACTATGCTCCAAGATCTGTGGCACTTTTCTAGAGGGTCGGCAGCTCTAATTGGCATGTCATGTAGTCTCTACACTCTGTCAGCACCTAATTCTGTACACAGATCCTTTTCTTCGTCTTTTAGATTTTCTTACCTTTCCTACCTTCTTCCCGAGATTCTCCTGGAGGTTTCTTGATGGTGCTTCTGCCTGCCACCCAAAAAACTATGCTCCATGATCTACCATGAACCTTAGAGAGGATCTGGCCAAGTCCCTATCAGCAGACATGTCTGCATGAGGTTTCACGCTGTGATATTTGAAGGTGGAGCTTTAGGTCTGTTTCTGAATACTTTGTAGTCTCATTTTAGAACATCTGTCACACCCACAATATGACCAGCAGTTTCTTGTTAGGGTTAAGCTTATATTCAAGAAATACCTGTTTAAGATAATAGTTTGATAGTATCTATCTAAGAATGAGAAATGTTTTTTATTGTAAATGTGGGAAGAGGTGGTGCTATAAGGAATGCACATAATAAAGGAAGATATAATAAATGCATGCAGAGGACAGGCATATTCAAGGGTGACGCATTCTCCTCAGGTAACAGTAGGAATAACCTGAGAGTTATAAATCATTTTGAGCCCTTTAAAAAGTTGTTTTCAAAATTCCTGAGCAAGCTATGATTCTCTGTGCTCTGAGGTAGCTCTGCAGGAAACCTCACCTTGAGCTTGACTATAAAGGAAAGAAAAAGGATTTCTTTACATAATTCTAGGGAGCATTGAACCTTTTGTTTCTATTTTGCTATGCTAACCATGGCAGAGAACACATCCCACTGTCTGTGTAAGCCTCTTCCCTACTGAGTGTATGGCCCTGGTTTTTTTTCTTTTGAAAGTAAAAGTAGTTAGGTCATTGAGGCATTGCTGAGAAGATAGCAAAAAAAGATACATACGTTAACACTGGGGTGAAAGCACTGGTATTGCTGTGATGTGAGGCATTAATGATGAACAACTTCCTTTTCTTAAGGAGACTGTTAACACACAGGGCTAAAGAGCCTGGCTCTGTCCTGACTTCTCCTCCTGTCTTTTTCCCTGATTGTGTACTGGCCTTGGTTCCAAAGGAGGAGTTGAGGAACACCTGCTTCCCACCATCTTCTTTAACTTGTTTTAGGAAGTAGGAGCAGAAGGACCAAGCCTTCTCAGACTGTGGCCCAGGACCCAGTTCTCTGAAACTCATGACAGAGCTCAAACATTCCTGTCCCCAGATGAAGATGACAGGATGCATGGGAACTTTTACTTAACTGTTTATGTCTTCCTTCTCTCTGATGATTTGTCCTGTCATCTGCAAGGATCTGTCTATTCCTTTGTCATGCTGATGGCTTAAACTTAGTTTGTAATAGAAGTTATGTTCAATTCTTGAGAGCATGAGCTTGTGCTTTCTACTGGGGGAACTTAATGGTTACTCCGTTCCTCTAAGTCATCCTGTTCTTCCAAAGTTGTCTTTGCCCACGTTTTATTGTTAGTGCCTCCTGACATGGTGGCATCAGAACAATTCATTTTGCTTAATTTATGAAGTGATACCAAATACTTATCATGTGCAGACAGATTCAATGTAGAGTACTACTTCTGTCTGAAAAATAATAATTTGTCAGAGGAAGACATATGTTGCATGAATCTTTGTTGTATTTTATTTGACTTTACAGTTACTTTTAACAATTTGAAGAATTAAGGCTTTGCAAGCAACTGATTGAAGCCAACATTGCTGCGTAATTATACCAGTTTATCCAGGTATCTCCTTTGTCTTTTTTTAACCCTATCTACAGCATTTATTATTTTCCAGTCATTATATATAAAAGTACAGTTTCATGTTTTAATAGAAATCCTGGAAATGAGACCCATGTCTTCAAGTGCCTGACTTCTAGATTGGAGCTGCCTTGGTCCAACTAACCGCAGTGTATTTTGAGTGCTTTGTGTCTTCCTTCTATCTTGGATGAGAATTTTAGTTTCTGTACCTTTTTCTCCAGTGTCGCCACTCATCGTTTTTTTTGAAGGCTGATGGGCAATATGTGAGTATTCACATGGCCTGGTTTTGTGCCCAGGCTGGGAGCCAAGGCTTCCTGTGCAATGTGGGCTGTCAGGTACCTCTAGAGGGCATCCATCACCTGACGGCTGCCTAATTCAGGTGCTCCTATTCATCTTCCAGCCACGTCTTTCCCCTTTCATTGACTAAAGAGAAGACTATATAGATTTCCACATTTAAACCAGACTGGTATGCTCTAAGTTAGGTGGTGTCAATGCTTCTCTTGTACAGTTAGTTGAATAATTCCAGTTTTATGAGTATTGCTCCTCTTTTGCCTTAATGCTTGTTTATACAACTAAAGAAGTGTCTTATGTATCTTTTGGTATAATTTTATTTCCTTTTCACAGTTCTCAGCTTTTTTTGTGACAGTTATCACTTTAACCCTGTACTTCAGTGTCTGTGCTCTAGCTTAGTTTTCATTCTTTACAAGTCTTATGTTTCCTCCTGATACCCTTTTCTTAGGTGGTTAATTCATATAGTAGGTTGAGCTCTTAACTTGAAAGGTTTTATCCCTTTCCTTGTGTTGTGCATTTCAGTTAACACTTCTGATTTATGGAATATGTGAAATTTTCTTTTTTCTGTATTTGAGTTCTTGAGCTACTCCAATGCTAATTTAGTTTACCAACTACCTCCTTTATTTCGTCTCCTTTTGCAGTTGAAATCAAGAACCTTAGTTATAGGCTGTCTTGTGTTTGTTCTTCAGTTGATTTGCAATGGAGGATATTTACTTTCACCAGCTTTTTTTCACTGCTTGCACAAACTAAAGCTTGAAAGAAAATAATGATGACTTTTTTTTGATGTAGAAATCTGTAGGAATATCTGACTAGAGAATTTTCCTCTTTCTGTATTCAAAGCCTGGGAAGTTAGTCTCCTGAAATGAAACCTATTGCTGTACTTGCAAGAAGAAACTCTTACCTCTTCAAGTATTAGAAGATAGATTTTGGAGTATGTTTCATGATATGCCTCCAAGTCATCTAATATAACGAGAAGAAGCAGCACTGTAATGACTTCATAAGCATATTTGCTGCTATACAGTCATGTTTGATGAAGTCATAAAACCTGCCTGCCATTCAGTTATCCATGCAAATATCTTATTCTTGTCTGCTTTGCTCTTGCTGTGTTTCAGAACAGATGAGTTCATTCAAAAGACCATCCGTGAAAAGTTTGCTCACTGCACAGTGCTGACCATTGCACACCGCTTGAACACCATTATTGACAGTGATAGGATTATGGTAAGACAGTTGACTGCTTAAAATTCTTCATTCTTTTTTTTTTTTTCCCAGAAGAAGAATAATGTTGTTGACTATCTCTTCTTAATTGTGATCCAAAAGTGGACAGAGGTTTGTCATACTTTAGACTTAGCCCAGTTATCCTAGTTACTGTGATTGGCAACTCATAAAACTGTAAAAGTAATGACCTGAAAAGACTTCTTACATTGTCTGACCCTGTGGTTTCCAGCCTGCGAGGCATGAACCCATTGCAGGTGAGGCACAGCAGCAGACCTGAGCAAATAAACTCTGCCAGCACTAGAAGTCTGTGAAGACACACCCAAGAAGCTCTGGAAAGAGTCAGCTGGATTCGGTCAGGTTTATTAATTCAGTCTCGATGGGCTGAGGGAGACCGTGACAATAGTTAGTGGTGTTGGATGTCTGAGGAGGAAGTGGTAGAGGTTCTGGGACAGGAGACTTGGGAGGTAAGGAGGCAGCAGCTGCCCTGGGGCAAGGGTGGTGGTGGTGGTAGAAGTGGAGCTAGACTGGTGAGGTAAGGAACATGGCCAGCTTTCTAAAGCAAGGTTCAAACAGAAAAGGTGAAGCACTACCAATCCAGCAGCCTCTACCATCTTTGTTCCTAACAGAGCAGTGATATACTCTTCCACTGTGAAATGCCCTCTCTGCCATCTTATCTGCCCCATGGTGCGTGGCACACGCGTAGAAATTAGGAAATACTTGGTGATTATTTTCATAAAGGCAATGGCCTTCCCTAGGCTCTCAGGAAATCAGGCTGGTTTGTGTCCTTGAAATGATGTGGAGCCTGCAGTTTTGCAATTTTCTGCAGCAGGAACAGGAGCCCTTTGCAAACATTTTCTTCACAGCCAGTTAATGAAGTAACTGATGTAGCGGGCAAACCGTGCTCATGAGTGGAACTCAAATTTAACTGGGCTTCAAGCAGAAATTATCCTTTACCTCTCGGTGGTGACCTTAAAAAAAAAAAAAAAAAAAAACTAACTTCAACTTTTGTTTTGTGAAAATGAAGCATGTGAATTCTTTTCATGTTTTTTTACTAGATGCTCAAAACATTTTAAAATCTGTGGTTGAGTTACAATGGTTGCCTGAAGTACACAAAATGAAACAATTGACTCTACTGAGGTGTCTAGTGTTCTGAGGAGTAGAATAGATTGTGAACTGAGTGATTATAGTTTACTTAGAGAGAAACCAGCAGAACTGCCATAAGTAGTCATATAATTGCAAGCATTTAACGTATAATAAATAAATATTTTCTTCACTGGTGAATACCTCTCCACAAGTTAATGGATATGTTGGTGTTTTCTACAACTAAAGTGAACAAAAGATTTGTGAGGAAACAACTGTGACCTAATTAGTAGCTGTGTGTGTTTGTTAGCTGTCCAAAGGGATTTCTGTGGGTTTTCATTCGTTAACTGCCATTAACATGTTATGCACAGAATGCTCTTTCCGTGAAGGTGTTTTCTTAGTTTTACCTTTAATATCATGCAGTTGTAATGAAAACTAGACTTTTTATTTATTTTTTTTGCCAAAAATCATTGGAACAAGGCGTAGAAATCAACCTTCTCCCCAAGCTGCTCAGTATTATTACCGACCATATAGTTACTCTACTGTATTTTTTGAGTCTGTACATTATACTTAACCATATGTTGTTTCAGTTTAGCCACTATTAAGATTTCTGGTTTCCTAAAAGTGCATTTATGTCCATACGTTGTCTAATACAGTCTTTTTTGGATGCCTTTGGCCTCTTTAGAGTATTAAGGAACAGATTTGCAAGGAGATGTGCCTTTGAGTCTGCACTTATTAGTAACTCTTAAATATTTTTCATCTTTTTGCATTGCTCCATTTATAGATTTCTGTAATTTTTTGGGGAGAGAGGATGGTGAGAAGCATAGGACAGACAAAAAGAGGAAACTGACATGTGACCCCTTAACAAACCTGTTTTCTTGACATCCTTAGTCAGTTACTGATTCTGTTTCTGGACAAATCAGAAATATGATCACATATTTAGAATGATCAGAGTTATGGCAGGTGTGCTTTTGTTACACTTTTAATTACTTGGTTTACTCAAGCACAAAAGTCCCAGTGGAATATAGCAGAATTTTGGAAAAATAAGAAAAATATATGTTAAAAATGCAAGGAAAAAGAATATCTGTCTAGAAGAATAACTATTAATGAGTGCTGTTAACAGTAAAAACAACATTCATGGAAAATTAGTTGTTTACTTAAATATCACAAAAATTGAGAAGACTTAGCTAAAGAAAGCTTTCAGTGTATTTTAAAATTTGGTTACTCAAGAATGTGTTTTAGTAATTCACAAATTTAACTTGACGCAGATTCTTTTTTAAGAGTAAAAATGCACAAACTGAAGTGCATTGTTCTTCCATTACCCAGTACTATTAAAAACCCTTGTTTTGTTTCTCCTTTAACTGAGACCTCTAGGTGCAATAATGCCGTCATTTATAAGCCACCCCAAATCTCTGTTGTTTGCTATCACAGTAAGTTTGTTAGAAAATGAGTGCAAAACAACAAAGATGGAACCTGGCAGTTGGAATATTAACAATTGTCTTTTGACAAACAATGAGTAAAGTTATTTTTCAAACAAATTTTGAGCAAACTTGTTCAACTCTCTTAATCACAAAAGTCCAAGCCCATTCCTGAACAAGTATACATAACCTGAACATAAACTAGGGTTTTCCTTCCTTCCCGTTGAATCAGGTTGAAAGGAACCTCGGGAGGTCCCTAGTCTAACCTCCTGCTCAAAGCGGGGTCAGCACTAATTTCAGATCAGGTTGCTTGGGGCTTTTTCCAATTGGATCGTGTGAACCTTGAAAGATGGGGAGATTCCGCAATCTCTCTAGGCAACCTGCCCCAGTGCTTAATTATCTGCCATGAAATCTTTTTTTCCTTGTATACAGTTGAGGCCTCCTTTCAGTGTATGGCAATTGTTTCTTGTTTTCCCACTGCGTATCTCACTAAAGAGCCTGCTTCTGTCTTCTCAGTAACTTCCTTGTAGGTATGGGAAGATTGCTGTTAAGTCCCCTGAAGCCATCTCTTCTCCAGGGTGACCAAACCCTGCTTCATCAGCCTCTCCTCATAGGTCAAGTGCTCCAGTCCACTGATCACTCTGATGACCTTTGAACTTGCTCCAATTTACCCTCATCTTTCTTGTACTGAGGGGTCAAAACTGATCACCATATTCCAAATCTGATCTGATGAGCACTGAATAAAGCAATTTCCTTGATCTGCACTCCTGTTGGTACCCATGGTACACTGCTTGACTCCTGTTTAGCTTACCAAACACCAAGATCCCATCTCCTTTTCAGCACGGCTTATGCCTGGGCAGTTAATCCCCAACTCATGCAGGGGCTCAGTCCCTTCCAGATTCAGGACTTTGCATCTGTCATCGTTGAATATCATGAAGTTCATGCTGACCTATTCCTTTAGCCTGTCTTGATCTAAATAGGTTTGAATGGCAACCCTGTCTTAAGCGTATTGGCTGCAATCTCCAGTTTGGCATTGTCTGCAAGCTTTTGATTTAATTCAATTTAATTGCTGGTTAAAGCAGAACTTTCCATAATGAAAATGTTCACCTTCAGGGTTAATCCAAACATTTAAAAAAAAAAAAAATTAGAACAGAAAATAATTTTGAGAAAGTCATGAGAAAATGTCAAGTTGGATGAGTATGGAAATAGGAACTGAACGTGAACTGTTGCATGTCTGCTCACACCCATTGTAATAACTGGTTCTATTTTAGAAGAGAAGAAAAGCCTACTGGAAGAGGGGGGAAAAAAAAAAGGAAGAGCAGAATATATTTTGTACAACTGTAGACAAATCTGGCCTCAGGAGTTGTTTTAATTCTCGTTTGTTCCATTCCCAAAACCATACCTCTGGTTTCATAATCCAGGTCACGCCTTAAGAGTATTTCCATTATATCTATCTTAGTGATAAACACATTTTATCAGAACTTCAAACACTTAAAATCATTGAGGGAAGAGCTGTATTGTGTAACGTGATACTCTCTAACCCAATCAACTCAATGAGTAATACTACATTGCACTTGCATAGGACCTTTCATCTGGAAATTGTAACGCTCTTTACAAACATTAATTAATTAACTTCAAACACCTGGGTGAGATAGGGAAGTATCCATACAATCTTTGGAACCAAAGTTGGAAAGACTTGTTAAGTCAGACCATCAAATAATACTACCATAAAATTATAATCCAGCGGTTTTCGAACTTCTTTCTTTTCTTCCTTTTCTTCCCTCTGTTCTTCTCCAGAGTCTCATAGGACATTTTCTCATTCCTTTTTCTTCATTACTTTGAGAACCCAAGTTGTAACTCCTCCTGTCAGGTGCTAGCAGTACCTGTTGTAGCTCTTTGGCACAGGCAGCCACCCTGGCAGAAGGGGAGGATGGGATAAATGCTGCAGTTGTCTCTTCCGTGATGGCAAATCCTGGCAGAAGCTCAGCTCAGGCTTGCTCCGCTGGCCCTTCATTCCTCACAGCTTCCCCACCACCACAAGTGCTGCTTCCCTGTCCTGTCCTCGCCTTGGAGGGCGAGGGCCTTTGACATAAATTGCATCTGCAGCTGGGAGCAGCCTGGGACAGCCAAGAGACACCGCTCCCAAGACTTCCAGTGGGACCTCGTAAAATCCCCAT